GGGGGAGGAGTGATGCCCTGTAGGGCCTCTCAGACACTAATGGATAACTTGCCCTACTTTTGCCCATACCTGGTGGTGGTCACCGTCTCAGAAGCGCAGTTGAGGTTTATTGCTACTGACTGTGTGATCAGGTGCGGGTCCAAGTGTTCCAGTTTATCCGACATGTCCAACTTGTGTTTCTTTTTGGGAGAGAGGTTGTTGACTACAGGACAGGGCCTCTTAGTGGCTGGCTGGATTTTGTGGTTCTTGGGGGGGCTGTGATGCATCAGGGGAGCTTGCATTTGTGGAGGCACCTGGGTCTGGACTGCAGTGGGAGCAACGCTCAGGAGCCCCGTGTTGACAGGCAGGCCCTGCAGAAGACAGGGTTGTGGGAGACCAGCGATAGTGGGGGCCATTACCGTCGGAGCCCCCAAAGTCAGCTGCCCAGTACCTTGCACCACGTTGAGCATCGGCAGCACACGTAGTGTAATCGATGGGCTACCGGAGGGAGTTGCCTGAAGGAAAACAGTGCCTATGCTCGGAGTAGGAGCAGGGGAAGCAGAAGACAAAACAGAGGAAGTAGTTGGAGGAAGACAAGCGATCCGAGTTTTGTTGATGGGTCTTGGGGCGACCTTGCAATTAGGCCTTAATATGGTGGGCTTGGTGAGAGAATGAGGGTCAGAATTTGCCCCTTCCTGCAGCGTCCTAAGTTGCCCTCTAAAGTCTATACTGTCATCTTGAACAGCAATGATCTGACCCGTCGTCTTGTTCACCAATATAAACTTTGAGGCAAGTTTGCTGGCTGTCACAGATGCTGGATCAGAAGGGCAGGAAGGTCCATTGGGGGTTATGGGAACGAGGGGGCGACACACCCTTTGCACTTGAGGTGGGTCCCTGAGTGGAGGAGGTCCTTGAGAGGACTGGTAGCTTACACAATCTGTGCCATTGGAAAGTGCGACAACGGAGTTCCCATTCTGCGTGATGGGAGAGGTGGTGGCTATAGGAGACGGCACCCGCACCTGCTGGGTGGTGTGGTCCGTCTCTGTGACCTCGCCACTTTTTAAGACAAAGTCAACAATTTCAGAAGGCAGGTGGGTCGGCGTTTTTCCGGTGGTCATGGGGCCGTTGTGGCTCTGTGGCGGGTCCTCGCTATCAGTGCTGTCGTGGATCCCATCCAGCTGTTCGATTCGACCGGGCGGAGTGGTGGACATCAGGGGACTGAAAGGTTCATTAGATACCACCGTCCGTGTCAACCCATAATACTCCCCTCCGGGCTCCTCCTCCGAACTGCTTGCTCCATCCGACTCGGCGGCTGGTGCCTCCATACCCACCAAAAGTTGAGCACCGCACGGCAAAGGGCCTGTGACCAGTTCAGTGTCTAAGGAGGACATCAGCTCTATGTCGGTCAGGAGCTGTGACGGCGCCTCAGAAGAAGAATGCCGCGCGAGAGGTGAAGAAGTTGGGGAAGGTGGAGGGCTTGCAGAATCCCGGGAAACCCGAGTTGAAGACTGACGGGTGACTCGAGGCGGTGGTGGCCCCGGCGGTCTCCGGGTTCTCCTGAGAGGTGTAACTTCGGGATCGCTTACAGTCAGGATGTGATGAGACCGAGAAGGGGACGATGGACTTCCTGAAAAAGGAACAAAAATTAGCACAATCAGAAAACAAACAAAAAAGAAAGAACACTCAGAGGTCACACTTGTTCACTAGCTGCTTTAAAAAGGAGAACTATGAGGCGAGTGAAAATCACTCAGCCTCATAGTTAGAGCCGACGTGTGAAACTGTCACAGGTCGGCTCAATAGATCGGGAAGTGAACGCATACAGTCGCTCGCTCGCTTCTCGATCCTGTCCCTGCAGAAATCGGTGACTGTCACTCACGGCTCCCTGCAGGGATTCCCCCCTCCCCTGTCCGATCCTCCAGCGCTGACTGGCGGAACGGACGGGGGAGGGGGCGGGTACAGCTGGCTCTGCCTCTAGATAGGCAGAGCCAGCAGTCACACACGCAGCTGGGCGGATACAGACAGAATTGTCGGGATTCATTCCGGCTGTGACCGTCTCAGTATACCGCGAGCTACAGCTCGCGGTATACTGAGCTTAGGGTGACGGGAGGACGCTAGTTTGTGTCCTCCCGTTACCCTAAGGAGAACTATGGGGAACTATGGGGAAAAGCCCTGACCCCCATAGTTCTCCTTTAAGGAGTCACAACTCCCAGCATGCCTTATATGTGGCTAACCAAAACAAAGCCAAGCTCACCTGGAGAAGGAAGCGGGCGAGAAAATCCACCAAGAGGTTTTCGGGAAGGAGAAAAGTTTGGCATTTTCATCCTAGCACCTGAGAAAGAGCGGGGGGCAGTAGCAGTAGTGATGGGCTCAGGAGGCGGCCGATGGGAAAGTGAAGGGGCTTCTGGAGGTGGAGGGGTGGAGGCAGGAACGGCTTCTGTGCTTTCTGGGGTAAGAAAAGACAAACTTAGACTACAAATTCAAAGAAAAAAAAACAACAATACATGACTATCACAAGAGAGATCACATCACGCGAGGGATCACATCACGCGAGGGATCACATCACGCGAGGGATCACATCACGCGAGAGATCACATCACGCGAGAGATCACATCACATGAGAGATTGTGCCATTGGTGACAGAATGAGCAAGGTGGGGGGGGAACCACTTCCCCTAACAGGAGCTGATCCCGTGCTGGCCCAGCAGAATGCATAACACGAGGGAGCGACTCTGCAGGATACCAGACGGCTCATCTGACAGCTCTTGATGTAAATAATGGAAGAGGAATAATAGGTTTAATCCAACCGTTAGACAGCCGAAGGTTTAAATAAGGTAACTGTCCCGTTCCACCTCCCGTGCCTCGTAGATCTAGGATTCTCCCATCCGCAAATGTTAGGTCACCTTACCTGGGACAAGTCCAGGACTGCTGTGGGCAATTGTCCTGTTGACGCATTGAGAGTCCTCTCCGTCAGATGAAATGTCGCCCTCTTTTGGGCGATGCTCGACGACCCTGCATTTGTACCAGCAGCGGCGACGGGCGTCCAGGGTGCTCCAGTATAAACGTGAACACCTGAAAAAGACATTCCCAGTGCTGTGAGAGCGGAACCTCCGCAGAGAATTTCTGATGACAAACTGCTTTCCACCGACGTGCAAATGAGAACATCAGCTGCGCCCCCCTTGTAGCACAAATAGGCTCGTATTTAAAGGAGAACTATGGGGTCAGTGTTTTTCCCCATAGTTCTCCTTAGGGTAACGGGAGGACACAAACTAGCGTCCTCCCGTCACCCTAGGCTCAGTATACCGCGAGCTGTAGCTCCCTGTATACTGAGACGCCGAAGCTAAAGCAGATCCCGACAATTGTGCCGTGATCCGCCCAGCTGCGTGACTGACAGCTGGCTCTGCCTATCTAGAGGCAAAGCCAGCTGTACCCGACCCCTCCCCCATCCGTTCCTCCAGTCAGCGCTGGCGGATGGGAGAGGGGAATCCAGCCCCTCCCCCTGTCACGGCAGAGAAGACAAAAAAATGCCTATTGCGGCTTTTGTTTCCTTGACATGTACTGTATGTTGTCAGAATTGACATTACCGATTTATGTCTGAAACATATAAAAACATGTTTTAAACTTCCTCTACAGTGCTGACGACACTTCCGCCTCCTCCCCAAATATCACTTTGCCGCCGTTTTCATCTGCCGAGCTCTCTTGAAGCACAGTGTTGCAGTCTTAGGCCTTGTTCACACCAAGCGCGTTCCAGGAGCAGAGCAGTTACAGAACGGATCAAAACTGCGTCCAATGTATTCCAATGGTATTTTGGGCTCTAGTTCACACACCGCAGCGTTCGGTTCCAGAGCATGTAAAAAAAACTGCAGCATGCCCTATTTTACCTGCTCTGGAACGCATGCAAATGCATAAGAAAACGCATGCAAACGCCCTGGAAGCCCATTTTAAACTCCAACTTTTAACCAAAAATGGCCCGGAACGCATCAAAATAGCACTGCTCTGACAGTAACTGCGGCCAGAGATATCTGGAGACAGACTGTTCGATAAAGACCTTGTTTAAAGCCTATTGTGGCACACAGGTGACACCTAGTGGCAGTATGGCATAACCATTAAAGCTGAAGTTGAATCTGATTATATTTTGCCTTCTCTGGTTCCCCCCCCCCCCCCTCTTTTATTTAAATAAAACCTTTCAGTTTTCATTAAATACCGTATTTTGGACCCAGTGATATCGTCACTGGGTCCCTGTGCTTCTTTCTTCAATGGAGGCTGGTGGGAGGGGCCGGCAGGGTGCTGTACTTAGCTTCCTGGCTCAGTACTCCTCTCAAGAGCCCTCGGCCCTGATGCAAGCAGTGGGCGGGCTCTTGGGAGGAGTTATGCAAATATCAAAATGCCTTGATGGGTGGGGGTCAGTCTGTAGGAGTGGGTGTCCCTAGGCAGGTCGTATGTGCATGCTGACCACCCTAGGTAACGCCCACCTGTGATAATGAGCCTCAATGATTGGAAGTACTGAAAGCCAATGAATAAAAAAAAAAAAGGGGCAAGCCAGGGACACTAAGGCTGGGAAGGAATGGGCATTGTGATGCTGGATGTCCTCCAGCCAGGAAATGAGGCGGAGCTCTATCTGACTTGATGCAGCTTCTAATGCACATCGTGAGGAGCTCCCAGTGTGCAGTGACAACAGAGGAAGCCATTTCAGGCCAGGAGAGGAGCCGGTACAACTGTGCCAGACTGAAGAGCTGGAGTTTGGTTTTAAAACCTATGTGTGGCAGTGTGGCATGACCATTATTCTGCTTAACCGCTTGAAGACCAGGTGTTTAGATCCCCTACCTGGCCAGGCCATTTTTCAGAGGTTTACTCTTCAGATACTTACTGATACCCAACGGGGTATATCTTCCCTTCAGATACGGAGAGATCTGTCAGCATACCCAGACAGTCTATCTTCATAGCACCTAAGATAAAAAAAAAAAAAGCAAAATCATTTGATTGGCTCGGATATACACTGAGTGGCCGGATTATTATATACACACTCAGTGTATACTTTGTATGATATACCCAACAAATGCAGGTGCAGACATGACACGCAGTACAGAATAACGATTTCCAGTTTATCACAGCTGACCTATGAAATATATCCATCAGTAGGGATGCATCGTAACATTAAGGCTGAAAATACAATTTTCTTGCCAAAAATATGGTGCATCTCTAGTTCCTCTCCTCCCTGCTCGGTGTCCCCTCTGATACAGAGCAGGGTCCAAGTGGGGAGGAGAGAAACTTTCAGGGGGCCGGGCAGGAGAGCGATGAGAGCGGTGT